ATACGTTTTCTTTACTCATTACTCATGTTCCTAAGGCATCATGGTCTAAAGGCATCATTTTCATGGCCTAAGGATTTAATTTATGTTTATCATGATCCATATGTGTCATAGTCTAAAGGCATCATTTTTCATGGCCTACAGACAACATTTTCATGACCTGAGGATATAATATTTGCGTATCATATCCCTAGACATCATAGCCTAAGACATCATCTTCATAGTCTTAAGGCAAACATCATGGTCGATATGAGAAATTGCACCATGTTTACTTTTACCATTTATCTTATATATATTTGCTCTAATCATTTTATTTAGTCATATTACAAGCTACAGATTTGCAGAGACTAACATTTTGAAGATAAGACATTTTTCACCTCACAGCTACTATTATCGTGCTTACATCTATCACAACAAAGGCCCTATCAAATTCTTTGCTACTCGTACTACCATTTTTCTGTTAATCCTTGGCTACTGATATTACTCCTTCTCATCGGATGCTTTTCCTTCAAACCGAAAATCCCTCTGTCATGCCTTCTCGTTATTCTAATCTTATCCATTCAAGCCGCATTCGTTTCCGTTCGAGTATCATACCGCTCTTTCGATTTTTAGGAGTCTCGTTTGCTCCTAAATCTAGAACTACACACGACCTGATTCTCGTATAACTAGAGATATGTAGGCGGTTTAATACCAAAGTCTCGGTCGTACCCCTTTTCAACTTTACATCGTTTCAATTGATCCAACTGACATCTCTCGTTGGTCGAACAAAATCGGCTACTAAGTTAACGTTGGTTGCCCGACAATTCATCCTTCATTCTCAAGCAACCAAGGGGCAGCTGTTGACACCCAATTTTGACCGACCTTTAGCAATTTTGGAAATGTTATTCGATTAAATATGTATTTTTTAAAATCTGCCGAGTTTAAAATTTTAATCGATTTTGTCCAAAAAAAAAAGATATTTAGTATGCATGTTTTATAAAAAATTATAAATATTTTTTAAATATTTTAGTAAAACTCGAAATAATTATTTTACTTAAATGCTTTAAAATTTAAGTGATCTTAATTGTATAAAAACTATTTTAATAGATGTGATATTTTAATTGGATAGCATTTCCTTAAATTTCCTCTTAATTATTTAATTTCTAGTCTATTCTTATCTATTTCATTTCAATTCTAGCTACATCAATTCAAATTATCATTTTCAATCATAGCCTTGGTTGATTTCAATTTTAGCCTATGCTTATTCCAAAATCAGATTTAATTCTCTTTTAATCTCAATCGTCCATCCTTCAAATTAAACTCTAGATCAATCCTAACCATTCATCTCTTTAAATCAATGGTCCAGATCTCATATTAATTCCTTTCCTTTTAAACTACCAAAAAGAAACCCTAGCATTTTCTATTCACTCTTCCTCTTCCCCTCTCAAAATAAAATCCGCCGCCCCCCACTCTCTATTCTCCAATTGTTCTCCGGCCAGCGTAGCCAGCAGAAGGGCGGTCGAGTAGCTACACTCCGCCACCAAGCGGATGACTGCGAGCTTCGACTGGCGATACCTCGACCAGCAGCCGACAAAAGCAACAACAACAATCATCCGCAGCAAGCATTGGTCAGAGCAGCCAGTAGTCGGAGCTGCTCCTTTTCCCTCCGTTCTCCTTTTCTATTTTTAAAGCAAAGCCACCGAAGCAGCGAGAACCAGCCGCGAGGACCACCAGCTCTGATTGACGAGCCCTTTTCTCTGCTCCTCTCTCCGCCAGCAGCAGCAGCGAGGCTGCTGCTCTTCCTCTCCTCTCCAGCGCTGTTTCTGTTGGACAACAACTCCGTCGAAGAAAGCAACAACATTTCCAACAACCAACAGTTTCGACCAACTCACATTTCGACATTGGCTTACATTCTATACAAAACACTAAAATATAGTACTGTCTACTCTGAACAAGAATAAAGTTTTTTGGGTAAACACTTCAAAGCTCCTCTGCTCGCAATTTTGCTGTGTTCGGGTCTAGTATCGAATCAAATTAGGTCTCCATTGCTGATAAACCTTCTGCATAGTGGTTAGCCCTTCTTCAATAGTTTAAATTTTGTTTCGCATTATTTTATCATGAATGTTGTTGTGCATTTGTTAAATGAAACAAAAAGGAAGCATCCCAGTTAGTTTTCTTATCCCTTCCTTCTCTATGTGTTATGATATATGTTCTGCGACTTTTTTTTGAAACCCATGTGTGAATAACTTGTGCGTTTCTATCTAGGTGGAAATTATTATTCTATGATCTTGTCTTTGGTGTATTCTGTTTAGCTGGGTTTAACATAAAGTTCAAGACATGAAGAGTTGCCTAGGACGGGATATCGGATAGAGCTTATTTCTGTTTAGTAGTTTATTTTTGATTATATTATGTCGTTACTAGTTGCTTTTGTTCTATTTGTAATATATTGTATAACTCTCTAAACTCTATATATGACATAACTTGGGGGATCGCCTAGGGGGAGGGGATTTACGTGCTACTTATTTATTTTATCGCTACTTATCCGTGTTAGAAAGCACGCCTATAGGTTCGTGATTGTTTGGTAGTTCATATTTAGCAACATCACTTTAGAGCTCATTAAAATAAAATAAAATTATTATTGCCATTAATCACCTATCTAATCTTGTTTGACTATTTTAAAATTAATCATGTGCTTAACTAGTTTAACTGTCTATTGTGTTTGTTTATTCGTCCAATGATCATCTTTTAACTATAACAAATAAAATATGGTATATGTCTATTACCGTGTTTTGTAATAAATCACCAATTCTCCTTTCTCTAAAAAATATGGAAAATGAATTTAAATAAGTGCTTAATTACTAATGTGCTCCATCTTAGAAATTTGCTTTAAATAGCATTCCTATAGGGATTAGTCAATTTTATATGATATTTAGGTGTAGAAATGTTGCATTTTTTAATAAATGCTAGATATTAATTAATTGGCTTGAATTAATAAGAGTTTTGATAATCTTGGGTATGTTGATAATCTAGATTCTTAAGCACTTTATATGTTAATATTTTGTTTCAGCATGTTAATGAACTTAAAATAAAATAAAATCTGAACATGTAAGTGCCGATCTGCCCTAATTATTATTTGTTAATGTGAAACTTTATTAATAAATCTCAACATGTGCACACTTAGATACCATGCCTATATGAGTTATATAATTCTTAATATATTATTTGGGTTTAGACATTATGCATATAGGTTTCAAGTGACTTTTCAATTTTCACTTAGAAATCATGCCTATAGGATCTAACTAATGACATCAATGTTAGTGAATAAAACTGCTTGCTAAAGTGGTAATCTAATAATTTTCATCATGTTAATCTAACTATCATAAATCTTCTATGCATATTTTCTACTCATATTTAAGTAATTTTGCAATGCATTTATTTTTTGATAATTAAAATAAGCTAGTAAACTGTCCAATTGATAACTTTCTGCATGTTTACTTAAAACCTGCCACTATAAATACTTGCTGCTCCTATTAAATCTGCTTCAAAATAACTAATTTTCTATGTCGTAATTAATTGTTTTTCTACTTAGAATCAGCTACTGATTAATTCCTGCATCTAATAAACTAATTGCCACTTAGAATAAAGATTTCAGCATTAATAATTGGCTATTGCTTTCAAATAATTTTTCCCATTTGCATTAATATAAAGTGCCCATTTTAAATTAATTACTAATTAAATCAGTCTAATAAGCATTACTTGACTGGTAATATTTTCGTCCATTTTAAATTAATCTATATGTTATATTGAGTGTTTATTTGTCTATGCACACTTAAGCATGAGACCTTTCACTTTATGTGTGTTTGCTAGCATGCTAAATAAAAAAACCTAGAGGCAATATGAGATTTATGTGCTAAGTGTTGTCCTATTTGTTTGACTTGGTGTCTAGGTGGGCCTACTAGGAATCATATATTTTTTCTTTGTCTAAATCCACCCTAATAGTAGTTCAATGCCTCTTGGACCTTAAGCGGGGACACTAGATACCTTTTAGAGACGAAAAGCATGTGGTGGTGGGGTAGGGGTACTTTAGGCCCTACGGAGATGATGACACCGACTCAGGCTTAAAATACAAACATTGGTTGTCTGTCCCTACTCGGAAGTCGATCAGAAAAAAAAAAGAAAAGAAAGTCGTGTGCTGATTTGTAGAGTCTTTTAGAGTCTCCCTTTCCTTCTCCCTTTTATATGTTTATAATAATTATATTTATTTGGGGTAGTTTAATAAAAATAAAAATTGATTATCTTATTTGATTGTGTAAGTTCTGTCTTCTCGCTTATCTTCTATAAATTGTTTCATGTTTAATATATATATTTAATGTTATGTCATCACTTAGTTTTGCATGTTTAATTAAATAATAAATAACTAAATTGATCTTAATTGTTTAATATTAGTTATCACTTAGCAAGCATGTTTAAATAACCAATAAATGAAGTGACCTTAAATGCTACTTGTAACACCCACTTAAATTGCATGAGACACGTCCGGGATCCACATTTGTGGACATCGAGGGATGCCTAACACCTTCCCCTAGAGGTAATTTGAACCGTTACCCTTATCTCTATTTCGTTGACCTTAGTTAGATTTAGCTAGGTTAGATAGGCGACCTAACGCACCTTAATTCGTTAGTGGCGACTCTTCAATCCATCAAAATCTCAAAAGAGTTGTTAGGTCAAAAGTCCATTTTTTGCGAAAAAATGGGACGCGACAGTGCCTTGTTACATCTAGGTGGTACCCCTGGGTCGTGACAAACTTGGTAATCAGAGCACAAGGTTTAAAATGATTCTAGGATGGTTTCTCATAATCCACATCTAGTAGAGTCTTGTTCATGAGTGTGAAGCGCGCCACATTTATAAATGAAAGACTACAAGATTATTAGGAAACTACACTTCTTTAATTATTCTTAAGTCGTGCCATAGAGTTTTAACTCTATAAAGTCCCTCTCCTAATCCTTCCTTTGTATCTTCAGGATATGAATACACGAAGGGCTAACACTAGAAGAATAGAGGGTGACAATGTGAATAAAGAAGCTCCTCAAGCTAATCAAGCTCTGATTGATCCTTTGGCTATGTCAGATGTGGAGGTTAGACCAGCTTTTCAAATGTTGGCTCAAGCTATGACAACTCAAGCTCAAGCTGTGATGGATTAGGCTAATAGAGATGTTGTTACTCATGTGAATTCAACTGCTTCAAGGGTTAGGGAATTTACTAGGTTGAGCCCTCCTAAATTTCATTCCTCCAAAGTGGAATAGGATCCTTAAGAAATTGTGGAAGAGGTTTACAAAATACTTGTTATGGTGGGGGTGACTTCGGTATAGAAGGCGGAGTAAGCCTCTTACCAATTGAAAAATGTTGCTCAAGTATGGTATAATCAATGGAAGAACAATAGGCCTGTAGGAGCGGGTCCCATAGAGTGGGAAGTGTTTAAATTGGCATATTTTGATGGGTTCTTTCCCTGAGAGTTGAGGGAAGCTAAGGTGGAAGAGTTCATTCACCTTCGTCAAGGAAGCATGAGCGTGAAAGAGTATGCACTAAAGTTCACTCAATTGTCCAAGTATGCTCCAACTATGGTGGCAGATTTGAGGGATGAGATGAATAGGTTTTTGACGGGTGTGTCCGGCTTGGTAGTAAAAGAATGTTGTTCGACAATGCTCTATCATGATATGGATATCTCACGTCTTATGGTGCATGCCCATCAAATGGAGGAATTAAAGTTTAAGGAGAAGAGTAGGGAGGTGAAGAGAGCTAGGACTGTTGATGGGAACTTCTCCAATGCTAGGTCCGATGAACAAGGTAAACCAAGGTTCAAACAAAGGTTCAAACAAAGGTTCTCCAATCAAGGTTTCTCTCATCCTTCCCCAAGGGTCAACAAAGATATGGTGTCTAACCGTAAACCCCAAGGAGGAAATGGAGGCGGTTCTTCTTTTGAAAGATCTACATGTGCCAAATGTGGGAAGGAACATGCGGGTAAGTACCTAGCCAACACAGATGGTTGCTTTGGGTGTGGAAAGAGTGGTCACAAGATGACAGATTGATCGATGCTCATGGCTAAAGGTAGAGAGGCCAAGAAAGCTTCTCTTAGTGGTCTGGATCCCAATGCTCCAAATCACGGTCGCTTCTATGCACTTTGGTCTAGAAATGACCAAGAAGTCACTCCAGATGAAGACACCGGTATGTTGATAGTTTCCATATATATGTAAATGTTTTATTATATCCCAATGCTACTTGTTAGACTTCGATGCTATCCTTGGTAAGGTTTGGATGCATTGTTTTTAGGCCTTTATTGATTTTAGAACCCGGTATGGTTATTATGAGTTTTTCGTTATGTCGGTTGGGATTAATTGAAAGAAGTGGTACTCGAGCAATTAGTAGGGGTTTCTTCCCAAGGGGGAGATGGTGTACTTTGATCGCAAGGTTATGGAGTTTCCCGATATCCTCATCTCTTTTCTTCTACTCCTACTCTAGCTTGAGACAAAGACTTCCTCTTAGCTTGTATTATGTTTTGGAGTCAAGTGTGTTTTATGTGTTTCCATGATTTCCTTATGATATGCATGTTCTTGAGAAATTTATGTTTAGTAAGAAAAAATGAGTTTTTATGATTGACTTTCCTCATGTTGTTGTGGATTGAGTATGAATAGCTTAGCTGACTTCATGAGATGAATTGATGAACATGCCTTATATGTATATGCTTTTCTTGAGTAGTTGGCCTAGTGGTTTCATGGATTGTGTTGAGTATGCTTTAAAGCTTAGAGAAGGTAGTTCCTTCTATGAACAAGTGAAATGTTGAATTTTCATGCAAAATGGGTTGTTAGATGTAGTTCCTACTTCCTTGTGTTGCATTAATTTTGTTTGAGATGGAGTTGAAGTTTCCTCCTTTGATTTGTGCATTAATTTGATGTTTCATACATGTTGAGCTGCTAGTCTTGAGTCTTTACTTCCGTAAAGTGTCTAGATCGTCATTCGAGGACGAATGTTCACAAGGAAGAGATATTGTAACACCCCAGAAACTAGTAGGCTAAACTAGAGATTGACGTGAAGGTTAAAGTCAGGGATGTAAATCCCCGTACTTAAAATAAAAGGGTTTCATGTCATAACGTCAAGGTACGACCCCCCCCCCCCCCCTCAAAGGACCAACCATGGGTCCTTGAGGAGGACCAAGAGAAAATTGCCAAGACCATGACCTACGACAAGACACACGCCCCGTGGTCACGGCTCGTGGGTCAAGGGTCAAAATTGGAGAGTTGCAGGACCCAACCCACGTTTCACCAGCACGCCACGTGGGTCCATCCACGGACTGTGGTCATGGGGCCGTGGGTTGTCACCCGAAACTAATTTTTGGCAATTGAGTTAGGGGTACTTTGAGGTTTTCTGGAAATATTTCGTTATTAAGTGACGTCGTTTATACTAATTTAGCCTAACTATATAATGATGTTAGACCCCTAAATTAAGTCATCTTCCTCATCATTCCAAAATTCTAAATCAAAACCAACTTTTCCCCAAATATTCTCTCTCTAGAACTTCAAGGAAGAGGAAGAAGGAAGTTGGAGCTAGGGTTAAAAGAGAAACATTTTCTTCTCAAGTTCATTGGATTTCATTGTTAAGGTATGGTAGCTCTTCATCCATGGATATAATTCATCCATGGAGTCCATTCGAAACTTAATTTCAAAGATAGAAATTCCCCAAAATCTAGGGTTTGACTCCAAGTCATGGATTCCTTTCAAAACTGATTCTAAAGATTTAATTACTTTATATTAAGATTGAATTGAGGATTTATTACGGTTTTATGTGAAATACCCCAAGAATCCATGAAATCCCCATATTCCCAATTTATGACCTTTATGTGGGTGAATTGATAAAAGAAGGATATTATGGGATTATGCTTGTAGTATCTGAGTTATTTGAATCATGTTACTATCCATATCTTTTGTGTTAATTCTAGATGTGTTGATGAATATGATCTTTGACACTTGAATGGTAAAGTATGAGAATTATGCATGATTATGAGATTTATGTATATTCTTTAAGAACACTTAGAGAGTAAAGTATCCATCATTATGATAATGTTGTTGTGTTAATTCAAAAGGCTATTCTCATGAACACATAATGAATATAATGTGAAAGGTTTTCTCACATAATGGAGATTCTAGGTTGACGGGCTTTCTCACCTAATTGAATCTAATGTTATATGTAGAGATGGACGGTGAAAGGTTATTCTCACGCATGATCTAATGAGCTATATTAATGAAACAAGTTATGACTTAATAAGGACTCTGTGGGATAAATGCTTAGCACCGAGTGGATATTGAATATGAGATAGAAGCTCCCCCGTGAGAAAGGCCGGGTTTCTAGAAGCAATCTCTTGAGATGGAAGCTCACCCGTGAGAAAGGCCGGGTTTCTAGTAACAGTATCCTTATCCCATAAACTACATGCCCCCATAGGATATTTAGGTAGTGGATCCACCTAAAGCTAACAAATGGTGGTCTTACAACTCTTTTCGGTGTGGGTAACACCGGATTCCATGTTGATCTCACATGATCTATGTTGATTAAGGCTTACTCCCACTATGACAAGAATATGAATTATGAAATATAGCTACTCAAGAAGCTTTACTTAGTATGGGTGAGATTTTGGGATCTTATTCATGCATTGCACAAGTATGCTTTGAGGGTAGTTATGGCATGTTCCTCTTATGTTATGTTGAATGAATATGCTTATGACTATGTTGTTAGTATGTTTGACATAAGGAATACATGTATGATGCATGCTTAACTTGGATTATTTCTACGAGTTACTTTCCTTGATATGTGTGACTAAAGGTGAATGTTCCCTTGTATATGAAAAATAAGTTAAGAATGAGATCTAAAGAAGATAAATATGAATGAGGACCTAAAGTGACTTGCTTAGCATGGGTGGGATTATGAGGTCTTATCCATGCATTGCACAAGCTTGCCTTGAGGTGGCTTATGAAGTGTTTGTCTTATGATTTGGTAAACTAGATTGCATTGATTACGTCTATGACTATGTTGTTACCTTTTATTCTTATAGCCTATATCTTATTATGATGTCTCTTATGACTTATGTTTTTGCACTATCTTCAGAATGACGGTTTAACTTAGCAAATTGGATGCATTCAACTAAAATGTCCCTTTTAGCATGTTTTCATGATTTTATACATGGGTATCATACTTAGTGCATCTTTGTAATAACCCATATTTTCCTACATTTTCCCCAAGTGTAGGGTCCGGTTCTCAAGGTGGTCCCCATTGTGGCTAAATCTTAGAATCACTCATTTCTCCTAGCTTGTTAGTTAGTAATCATGAGTCGAGGACAAATGTTTTTACTTAATAGTTTCATTCTTGTATTCCCCTTTCAGATTATGTTGTATGGGCTGTGTCCCTATTTTATTCAAGTATTGTAATAGATAGCTATATTGAGACAAGTCTAGACTTCCGCTTTGCTTTTATGAAAAACTTTTTAAGACTTGTAAAGTGTTTTACTCTTTTTTGTTCTATGCTTATGTTATGATATGATAAGTGTCTCATATGGTGCCTTTCAAGGTATTATGTTCCTTATTACATCTAGGGGGTACCCCTCGGTCGTGACAAACTTGGTAATCAGAGCACAAGGTTTAGAATGATTCTAGGATGGTTTCTCATAAGCCATGTCTAGTAGAGTCTTGTTCATGAGTGTGAAGAGCGCCACATTTATAAATGAAAGGATACAAGATGATTACGAAACTATACTTCATTCGTTACTCTTAAGTCATGCCATAAAGTTTAACTCTGTAAAGTCCCTCTCCTAATCCTTCCCTTGTGTCTTCAGGATATGAGTACATGAAGGGCTAACACTAGAAGAATGGAGGATGACAATGTGAATGAAGAAGCTCCTCAAGCTAATCAATCTTCGATTGATCCTTTGGTTATGTCAGATGTGGAGGTTAGATCAACTTTTCAAATGTTGGTTCAAGCTATGACGACTCAAGCTCAAGATGTAATGGCTCATGCCAATAGAGATGTTGTGACTCATGTGAATTCGGCTGCTTTAAGGGTTAGGTAATTTTCTAGGTTGAACCCTCCTGAATTTCATGCCTCCAAAGTGGAAGAGGATCCTTAAGAAATTGTGGAGGAGGTTTATAAATACTTTCTATTATGGGGTGACTTCGATAGAGAAGGCGGATTTAGCCGCTTGCTAATTTAAAAATGTTTCTCAAGTATGGTATAATCAATGAAAGAACAATAGGCCGGTAGGAGTGGGTCCTATACAGTGGGAAATGTTTAAATTAGCGTTTCTTGATAGGTTCTTTCCTCGAGAGTTGAGGGAAGTTAAGGTGGAAGAGTTCATTAACCTTCATCAAGGAAGCATGAGCATGAAAGAGTATGCACTAAAGTTCACTCAATTGTTCAAGTATGCTCCAACTATGGTGGCGAATTCGAGGGATGAGATGAGTAGGTTTTTGACGGGTGTGGCCGGCTTGGTAGTAAAAGAATGTTGTTTGGCAATGCTCCATCATGATATGGATATCTCACGTCTTATGGTGCATGCCCAACAAATTGAGGAATGAAGGCTTAAGGAGAAGAATAGGGAGGTGAAGAGAGCTAGGTTCGGTGATAGGAACTTCTCCAATGCTAGGTCCGATGAGCAAGGTCAATCAAGGTTCAAACAAAGGTTCTCCAACCAAGGTTCCTCTAATGCTTCCCCAAAGGTCAACAAGGATATGGTGTCTAACCGTAAACCCCAAGGAGAAAATGGAGGCGGTTTTTCTTTTGAAAGATCTACATGTGCCAAATGTGGGAAAGAACAGCCGGGTAAGTACCTAGCTGGCACGGATGGTTGCTTTGGGTGTGGAAAGAGTGGTCACAAGATGAGAGATTGACCGATGCTCATGGCTAAAGAGAGAGAGGCCAAGAAAGCTTCTCTTAGTGGTCTGGATCCCATTGCTCCAAAGCACGGTTTCTATGCACTCTGGTCTAGAAATGACCAAGAGGGCTCTCCGGATGAAGACACCGGTATGTTGATAGTCTTCATATATATGTA